GTGTCGCTTCGGACCATTCGTCCTACGACATGATGGGGACCGGAGGAACCATAAAGCATGCGACTCACCGATCGCTGACTTGCGCCACTGCGATCGCTTTAACGGTAGGAATTGAGAAGACGAGTGCAAGTTAGAATAAGAGGCACTTACAGGGACGAGCACACTTAACTTAAAACTAACGCGTAACATTAACTTATAGCTAACGCGCGCATCTCTCCAAGATCCCTCGATGATCCCTCGATGATTGATGTCTTCAATCTTCGCGTATACGCCATTCACACATTTACTCATTCATGCTACAATATATTACAATAGACGCAACTTAAAATTACTTAAAATTAGCGCATTAGTTGATGAAATCCCACGAAGGAAATCTTCAATGATGACCTCTTCATTACTTATAGACTAATTAGGTGTATTAATAAAAAGAGGAAACAGAAAAGACTAGTAACATTATAATGTTTAGGCATGCACAATTCATGCTACCATGCACAATTCATACTACCATGCAAAATTCATATTAACATTTTCGGAATAAAAGAGAAATACATCTCGAGTTACCTTAACATTACAATGTTTAGGCATGCACAATTCATGCTAACACGCACAATTCATGCTAACATGCACAATTCATAATAACATGCAAAATTCATATTAACTCAATAAAAATACACCTATAAAATATACAATATACTTAAGAAATAATCGATTACTTAATTAAATTAAAAACCTGAAACATCTGAAAGAAATTAAGACAAATATGAATTATTAAAATAAAAATCTGAAAAATAGTAATGTAATTAAGACACTTATGAATAATTCACTTACTTACATAAAATAAAAATCTGAAACAAACAAAAGTAATTAAGACAAATATAAATTATTTCACTATTTATATAAAATTAAAACCTGAAACATACAAACATAATTAAGACAAATATCAATCATTAAAAATTACTTACTTAAAATTAAAGCCTGAAACATACAAAAATGATTAGGACAAATATGAATCATTAAAAATTACTTACTTGAAATTAAAACCTTCAACAGACAAAAATAATTAAGACAACATGAAAAACATTAAAAATTACTTACATGAAATTAAAACCTGAAACATACAAAAATAGTTAAGACAAAAATGAAACATTAAAAATTACTTACGTAAAATTAAAACCTGAAACATACAAATTTGATTAAGACACATATGAAACATTGAATTACTTGCTTGTAATAAAAATCTGAAACAGACAAAAATTAATTAGACAAACATAAATCAAGGAATTACTTACTTGCAATAAAAATCTGAAACAGACAAAAATTAATTAGACAAACATAAGTCAATGAATTACTTACTTGAAATAAAAATCTGAAACAGA